TAACCAAGCCATCCAGCTTAGAGAATGAAACTGCAGCATGATTATTTTATGTTATTGATAAGAATATTGAGTAGTATATATAAGTAAGATAAAAAAAGATTGAAAAATGGAAATTATAAAAATGTTAAAGTTTTCTTAAATCACTAATAAAGTAGGTTTATTTTGAAGAATTCAATAGAAAAACGCCTCGTTCAAAAGGGATGCTACCCGTAGCTCAGGTCGCATGTGGTCAATTTCATTGATTAATAGCAGTGGTTGTTTTGCAACTTTCCAGAAGGCCATTTTCATTGGAGTGCTGTATTACGTATCATCATTGCTTATTATAATGAGTTTGACAGTTATGTAAGTGGGATGGTTCACATTGGCTTGTTCATGCTATGCGTACTGACTGACGTGATCATAGATTAGAAACAATCACCGTATGTATTAGTGTAGTATATAAGTAGTGTGAATGGTGCACCATAGTGTCAGGTACCATGTAGTGGTTGCGTTACGGGATTGAAATGTATTGTTCACAGGTTGTAGTGTCAGCCATGTGGACAGTGTCCGGTTCTACTGAAAACCAATGTAACATAAGCTCTGCCATTTGAGGGTGAATTTATGTAATTGATCTAAACTTTGTTTAAAAGCAATGAATATCTTGCATTATATACCGTCATTAAATTACAATTGCAATTTTTAAATACGCTACTTTAACAAATTTCTTACTTAGCACAATTAGAATTTCATTTGAAAGAAAAATAGTTTTGTGAAATATTAAAATTTAATACTTGTTAGTATGCAAAACTACTTCCAGTTGTCTTTACTTGGTAACTTCAATGGACCTTACACACTTGCATTTTACAGCTTCATCGAGTTACATTGGGTTGAAAATTTCACTGGAGGTTTGATATGCTCCTCAGTTAATATGCCTGAACTATTACGATTTCACCTTTCTCGGTAAACCAGTTCCAGTGACAGGATAGGCTATTCTAATCCGTTTGTGCCCTGCCCGGCTAACTATATCAAGAAGTATTGATATGGCGTAGGGAGTGTAATTCTTCAAGCACCCAGAAAATATGAGGTTGGCATGAACACAAATCGAGCTTATTTATGCATGACAGAAACGTCCTTGGGAGAGCCACAAAAATAGCGTACTAAAATAATCCATCAACCAATGACAGTCAAGGATTTTCCAAGTGAGAAATGTAATCTCAAGGTCAACTAGGCAACTTATGCGCGAAAACATAAAAAATCCAGAATTAGGACCTTTCTCAAGTGAGTTCTGACGATCTAACCTCGCCAATAATGTTGACTCAGCCGTTTAAAAGGTAGTTATTCACTGTAAGACCGAAGGTCTCCAGCACTGTCATGGTTACATACTGCATAGAAGTTTCATATGATGACGATATAGCTATCTTGTATTTACTTGTTTCCAATGTATGTATGTCCGTTCGTCATATCACTGATAAATGGGTTGTTTAGAATCACACCTGTTACGCCTAATGAAGCATAGGCCGCCGACTAGGCAATTATTTTTTTCTGGTTAGAGTTTTTTTCAGTGAGTTGTTTTTCTACGAGGTGGGGTCGTTAATCCCAAGCCCAACCTTCCTCTTTTATGCAGGCTTTGGACTGACAGTAACCGTAGAAGAGCTCCAGGCGGAGGTATTGAGGTTTAAAAATGAAGATAAAAATTAAAATCACATTTTTTTCAGTATTTTATTTCTAAAATATGTTTATGGAAATTTTAGAATTCATGAAATACAGAAACGGGTTCATTTCATCAGTTAAAGTTTTTAGCGTCCTTACATTATAAATTAGTTTATTTAGTGTGATAAGTCTTCTATGTGAACATACTTTTCGATTTCTACAAAAGTACAGGTTAATCCCAAGGCTAAATTTACGTAATAATTTGAACATGTAGGAGAAGGCGTGAAGTCCGAATGAAATGAGTCACTTCAAAGTTGGTTTGTGTACGAAAACACTAAGGATAGTTTTAGTTACATATGACCTTCAGCTTTTAAAAGTACTTCGATCCATACTGGAGAAGTAAGTATCCAAACAAAATCACGGTAAACTACTTTGCATTTTCTTGATGTTTTATTGAGAATTGTATTTGACATTGATTATAAATGGCACTTCCAAGAGTTCCTTGGTTCCTTATTGATATTTCGAAGGGAAACTTTAAAGCTTCCCAAAAAAATTAACTAATTGTATGATAGATTCGATTGAAATATTCAATCTGTCAGTCAGTTACCTAGATCGTTTCAAGCACAAACTGTTAGGATATTCATCCAATATCGTAAGATAATTGTTTGTAAGTCTAATTCTATTGTTCAATTCCTATCGGTCGTCCTAACTGTCAATGCCACTTCAAATGTATAAATAGGCATTATATGTGACGTTTTACGACATGAAACAGGACTCGAATACCTAGTCCAGGATCCTGATTCTCTTCTGGACTCGGACCTCGTACTTTCTGGATTTTTGTAGAATATACTTTCTATTTCATATCAAGTCTTCTTCTCTTACTCAATCAGGGGTGGGGACGTTCGGATTAGACTAGCATGTCATGTCACTGGATCATCGATCCTCGCTTTCGTTCACTGACTAGAATGAACTTGTAATAGTTCAAGCATATCAAATGACATGTTTACGTGCATGGGTGACACAAGCAGAGATGGAATTGTCAGTTCAAGTACCATAGTAGTAGGTAGTTGAAATATTAGTTGCAGTGGAGAAAATTAGGGTTTGAAGATATTATTCAAAGAGTAAAAACCAATAAAATCACTTTAGAAAAAGGCAAAACGATCATGAGGAACCTAGAGGATAAGAACAATGGATGCATCTGTACCATTGCAAACGATTTTGAACCATGTCATTCAAATTCTCTAATCATTGGTTACTATTGTCTCGCAGACCCCAACCAAGTAGTCTTCATCTATTAACATAGCTTAGTCAAGCTGTTAACAATTTGATAGATTCGTGCCATGTTTTGTTTTAGTCAACCCTACGTTTCTTGCAGGCTACAGCTTACATCAGACAACATCGCTCGTTGATGTAGTCAATAGTTCGTTCAGCATACTTAACACATGTACCTTGATGTTAATATTCGTTAATTACAAAATCTCAAACTCACTTTTAAATTGGAATGTGTCTTTATAATTGAATATGTATTGGGTTTATGATAAATTGTCACTGTCCTGAATTAATTTTGAAAAAAAAGATATAAATAGTTTTAGTAAATTTTGATTCAGTTTAACAGATGATGTATTAAATGGTGAGTTTAGTTCTGTTTGTAGCATATCAGTTGAATATATTACCTGTTGCATCCAATGTTCATGTTCCTAAAGAGATTTGAACTTTTTTATCAATTCATCAAGTGAGCTAACTCCATCTGGAACCCTTCTAGGATTACTGCCGGTCTCAAGCCTGAATAAATACTGAGGTTTGGGTATGGGGATAGTGATCCAATCCCGTAGAAATCGAACTCACTAAAAAAAGCGCTAACCAGAAAAATGATTGACTGGTTGGCGGCTTATGCTCTGTTAGGGTTAACTGGCGTAAGTTAGTAAGTCAACTGACGTATTAGATCTATGTAATTACTACATTCTTGGTTAATCAGCAGACCTTCTACTCATGCACACCGCCGCATTTTAAGCAGCACAAGGATTCTCACAACAGCCAATATTGCGATCACCACTGCCCAAAAACTGGAACGCACATGTTTTCTAGATTGGTCTGCAGACTAAAGGACGTCCAAAAAGCACGCGCATGAATAGCGGCCCCTGTTCGGGCACTTATGAATCAGCAAGATCCATCCAACCAATCCACTACCCGAAATCCCCAGTAGGCATGCGCGGCAAGGCGGGCTTTTTCAGCTACACCTGGCGCCCCGAGCGGATTACCGAGTCACTCCGTAGTGCACTAACCAGCAGCCATTCCAACCGTCTGGCCTCCAACTGCCTTGCGCTGACACAATCTACCGGAGCCCTCAAACCCCATATGAAGCTAAAGATTGATTTTGTCCCACAAGGTTAGCCAGAAGGTACACCCTCCCACGGGGATGATTTGCTCATGCCGTCTGTAGTTCCGTATATTTGAGAAAACTCTTACATACCAGTGGATATAATTAAAATATGTTTGCGAAGGCGCGGACTGGGAAAGCAAGGGCAGTATTTCTACAATTGAACAACATCTGAAACTGAAAACAATTTTCAACCAATACCAAAATCAGAATTTTCAATACAAATATCAAGATGTTTCTATTGTATGAAGTAGAAACTTGGAAAAACCCCGAAATCCCTCATTCAAAAGGTACAAGTGTCTATTAACAAGTGTCAGACACTATCAGCAGAAACCAAGTATCGGAGAGAACAGACCGGATTCCAGCAGAGGAAAAATTAGGGAGAAGCTTTGAAAGTGGTTAGAACACACGTTGAAGAAAGCACGCAACTACGTCACAAGACAAAGACTCAAGAATAGTGATTCGAAAAAAAATCTAGGTTTAGATAGTGCAATCCACAAAGCATGTTTCGTCCGATTTAAGACTCTTCAGCTGCATTTACCGGGATCTCAGAGTTGCTGTTCACTCCCAGAGACTCGACCTAATTATCTTATGCTCTAAACGCCATCACGTTATCCACTTTGAGTCTCATAGTGACCATCAACTCTGCATAGTAGGTACATCCAGCTAGACACGAGTCCCGAAACACGCGTCATGGGTTCCCCTGTTATCTATTATCTACCTCTGTTAGTAATGCTAGTAACCTTAAGTCAATATTGAGACAATCCTCACAGTTTTCACATACACCAAAAGAGATCGATCCATTGTGAGAAAATTCCAACAACCAATATAAATAAATTGTGAATTTTATTGATCAAATATTTTCACCAATCAACAGTTATCTTTCAATCAATACTGTAACTTTGATCAATAAAACAAAATATAATCAAACATTCATCCAATCGTTTTTTTTTCATTCAAACTTCAACTGGTTAAATGTTCAATTAACACTTACTTGAATATTTCACAAAATTCTTCTATATCTAACCATATTTCTTTTGGATTCAGGACAGAAACAGTTTTAGTTAAAATATTATCATCATCAGTCGAATTCTCTTCACCAGTTGTTGATTTCAATTGTAATGAATCATTTGTACGTGAACTCGAGTTTTGTCCACTACTACCATTTGTATCTAAAATTTTATTCTGTCCTTTCATTGATTCTTTTGATTTATTTGTTATCCCTGAAGTTATTAGATGTTTTTAAAAGTATGTATGTTTTTTAAAAGTTTAAATGATAATTGTTATGTATGCATGTGAACACGTCCAACTGATGTGACTGAACTGTTACGAGTTTACACCTTAGTCGGAAAACGAGAGTGAGGGTCGAGGATCCGGTGACACGACAGGCTACTCTAATCTGATTGTCTAAAACCCCCATTGAGTAAAAGAAGAAGACTTGATATTAAGTAAAACCTGTGTTCTAAAAGCATCCAGAAATTACCAGGTCCGAGTACAGAAGAGAATCTGGATCCC